GAAAATGAAGGACTGGTGTACTGTAATGATATCGCGAAGCTGCTTCTAGACATGGGATTAAAAGAATACAAACCTAGTGAGTGGCGCCTTTTTATTGACAATTGTAAAAGAAGTTTAAATTGCGTTTTACTGCACAATGGAAATAAATTTGCATCAATTCCAATTGCCCATTCAACAAAACTCAAAGAAGAATATGAAAATGTAAAATTAGTTTTAGAAAAAATTAATTACTCGGAGCATCAATGGCCGATCTGTGTGGATTTGAAAATGGTTAATTTTTTACTTGGTCAACAAAGTGGATACACGAAATACCCTTGCTTCATTTGTATGTGGGGCAGTAGAGCAAACCAACTTCCAAGCAGAGACAAAATCATACTTCCACCGTTACATGTTAAGTTAGGAATGATAAAGCAATTTGTAAAAGCGTTGGACAAGGAAGGAGATTGTTAGCATGGAAAAGTTGCAAGGTGGAATATTTGATGTTCCTGAAATACAGCAATTATGAAAGACGCAGATTTTATTAAAGTTATGACTGTTCCGGAAAGTAAAGCTTGGAAAAGTTTTGTGTTGATAGTCGAAAATTTTCTAGGTAACCATAAAGCACCAAATTATGAAGAAATTGTACAAAATATGCTGAAAATCTTTCAGACTCTAGGAGCAAATATGAGTATCAAGTTACACTATCTCCGCAATCATCTGGATAAATTTCCGGATAATTTAGAAAATTATAGTGAGGAACAGGGAGAGCGGTTCCACCAGGATCTAAAAGTGATGGAGGAAAGGTATCAGGGTCGATGGGATTGTCACGTGATGGCAGATTACTGCTGGTCTTTAAAAAGAGATTGTCCTCTGAAAAATTATAAAAGAAAAGCTCATAAAAGGTGTTTTATGGAAATAGAAGATATGTTTTCGACATTTTTCTCTCTATTTACTTCGGTGTATCCTAATTTTTCAAAACAAAACTGACATTATAAATATATCTGTTATTTTGTTTCTCGTTTTCTGATTTTTGTAATGTAAAATGAAAATAAAGATTTAAAAGGAAACGAGAGCAAATCTTACAAAATCATTGATAGTTTCATGAATTGTGAGCACAAATATATCCAAAATCAATCGTATATCTAGGGCAACCAAACCACTATTCATTCATTTATTGAGTTGACTGGTGGTTTTGTAACCTTTTATATACGTTTGATGTTTGATTATTTAGTGGTTTTGTTGTTGTGGCTGGGGATTCTTTGTGCCGCTGCTGATATACATATAAGGTATTAATGATATTATAAAGGTAAGTACTTACTAATTATTTGTTAATAAAACAGTAAATGTACATTTTTGTTGCAAATACGGGGTATCTCCGTTATTATTAGATACAAAGTTCCTAGTTTTTGAAATACAAGAAAATTTTGAATCTTTTTGGTTTTGGATACCCCCTTTGCTTCGATTTCTATTAGACTTAGCGTAAAGGTAAAAACGGTTATATAAATTTTATTTTATTGTTATCCATTACAGAAATCTATATAATATGGGAAAGCCAAGGCATAAAATTCAAGATTTGTTCGATGAAAAAAAAAACAAATCAGTAGATTGTAAATACTCCAAAGCTAAATATAAATTCATCAACGTAAACAAAATGAAGAATCATATTTTAAAGTATATAAAATGTCCAAATGATGTAAAGACCCAATTTAAAGCAGATCTATCTTTGGCTTCATCATCATCATCATTAATGACCTCAATAATGTCTCAACAGCAGCAAGAATGTGCCACCCCCACGCGATTGAAACAATTTGTAGACTATAAATCCTACAGAAAACGTAAGTTTTTGGCAATAGTTTCCTAAATAACATAGTTCACTATTATATTGTTAGGAAAACTTGAATACTAAGCTGGCCACAACTATTTTTGCGTCCGGAACACCCTTCTCCATCGTAGAGCATCCTCTGTGGAAAAGTCCTTTTAATACATTAAGACCAGCTTATATATTACCTTCACGAAAGTCTATTTCAACAACGTATCTAGATAATCAGTACGCTTTATTAAAACGTGAATTAGAATTAGAACTACGAAATTCGGATAACCTTAACCTGCAATGTGATGGGTGGAGGAATATTAGGAATGAAGCCATCATCAACTTCATAGTAACAAAACCAGAACCTATTTTTGTGAATTTTATAAATACTAAGGCACACCGGCACACCGCAGAATATTTGTCTGAAAAATTAAGCGAGGTGATTGAAAAATATGGACCTGACAAATTTTTCTTTGTGATATGTCCCCTATCACAAAGAAGCTAGAGGACAACGCTGCAAATATGCAAAAATCTTTTAAACATATCCAAGAAAAATACACTCATATAATTCCTTTAGGATGTCTAGCCCACACTTTTCATTTCCTTTGCCGGAATATACTAAAACGTAAATCTATTCAGGAATTTATGGACAATTTAACTGCAATTGCAAAAAAGATCAAAAGCGTGCATGTTTTGAATGCTTTATTTATACAAATTAATAAAGACAGGAAACTGAATATTTCGTTAAAATTGCCTGGTGTAACACGTTGGGATAGTTCTCTGGCCTGTCTCGAGTCTTTTAAAAAATCAAAAATGTCTCTTCAGCATCTGACTGTAAAAGAAGAATAATCTGAAGTGCTACCACCAGATATGAAAAGAAACTTATTAGATGATCTAACATTTTGGCCTAAAATTGATATGATTATTCGAATACTGAAACCAATTGTGGAATGTTTAGAAAAATTTCAAACACAAGTCTGTATTGTTCACAAGGTTTATGAATATATGTCAGATGTTGAAATAATTTTAAGAGAAAATCTTTCCGAAAGTGGCATGAATATGAATGAAAATGAGATCGCTAATATTTTGAAGTCATTTGATAAGAGAAAAGAGCGTGCTTTAAAGCCACTCTATTTTGCAGCTGCATTACTAGATCCATTAAATCAGTGTTCAAAACTTACTCCAGAACAACAAATTGATGCAATAGAGTTCATATATAAAGTATTCGCGGATATGAACGTTGATTCTCTGGATAATGTTATGACGGATTTAGCAGATTACCGCTCAAAACACAAATTATGGTCTAAAAACTTCCTTTGGAGTTGTATCCACTCTACATCTCCGGTTTTTTGGTGGAGAGGGCTGTGTGGTACAACGTCATTATCAAAAGTTGCAATAAAAATTCTAACTGCTCCAGTTTCGTCAGCCGTAATTGAAACATCATTTAAAACTTTTTCGTTCAGTCATCATAAAAGAAGAAACAGATTGACAACCGAAAGAGCTGGAAAGATTACGTACATATCTCACAATTGGAAAATCAATTTCGAGTCCAATAAATCGGAACAACAACCAAAACCAAGTACATCATATTCTGCACAACTTCCTTCAACTTCAACTGCTGATATTGTTGACCAAGAGTTTGAAAGTTCCGCTTCTACTTGCAGTAGTTGCAGTACAACTAACGAAGGTGAACGACGAAAAAGTGAAGGTAATGATGTTGTGACGAGTCTTATGGACATGGAATCAGACTCATGGACATGCAAACTTTGGGTATATACCCAAATTTCAATATACCGGGTTTTTGCCCATTGATGACCCCAAACAGTTTCATTGCCAATTTCCACCCGTTTCCAAAAAAAAACTTTTTTTATATGTTCATTTTCAAACATTTTTCCAAAAAAACCGTTCAAACTGAAATCATGAAATTTATTACACCTTATCTTCAAGGACTTTTTATAACCTTAACAATGATACACGTTTCAATTCTAATTTATTTCGGAGAAAAGAATGCTTCTCTTTAATCTTATATTGCAAAAACTGTCAAATTGAAATCGCCGAATCATCTTCAAAATTTATTATGGAAATTTTCAAGTTGAAAGCTTTAAATTTCACAACTCTCACATGTTTCAATTTTTAATTACAAGCCGTTATAAACAAAGAACTCTTTTTAAATTGATTTACAACTTTTTTTTTCTAAACAACCCGTTCAACTTAATAAAAATATATAAATTCTATAAATGTTACCAATATGTATGTAATAGATAAAAAAAAATTTCCCTTGACTAGTTTTAGAGTTTCCTAATTTATAATAGATTTTCTTATTGTAGTAAAAGTCAGAAAATACGCCATCAAATCCCTCGATGGATAACGACGTTAAAAGGGGGTGAATTGAATGTATTATAGTAAGCACTGGGAGAGGATCAAGCACTTCATAAGGGGAATAGGATGACAAATTTGATCGAATTACCGCTCGTGCCTAAAGCAAACGATCCCAGGGAATTTATTTTAGACCGTAAATCGGACACAATTCGTGGGGATTCTATTTGCTTCTTCCCTATAATTTCCTAATGCGAGTCGTTAAGAGTTTTAGGGGCAACAAGAATTGATTGATTTTCCCACAAGTCGTAATAAAAAAAAGTTGTTATAGATCAATTGAATTATAGTTTAATATTCTTCTAAAGTTTTAAAATCTTGTGGTGATTAAGTTTTAACGAAATTTGGCAACATTTCAAGTCGATTTATCACCACTGTCGAATGCGGTGGGAGGCGGACCGTTCATTTCAATTTGCCGTCGTTTAGTATTGGTACGAATCGGCGGGGAGTCCTTGATTAAAAAGCTCCACGTTCTTGCTCACAATCGGATCCAACCGTGACCATTGTCTGTGACAACGCACGAACCGCTCGTTGTTCCCCCAACACGAGTTTTGTTTTCTCCCAACCAAAAGCATACGTGTGTGTTGGTGCTGTTTGTGTATGCCACAAACCACGATTAAATAGATGAAGTTGATTTGAATGCGAATCCCTGGAGTGCACGCAATTTTTTTTCTGTATATTTAAACTACATATTTACTTACTTACCAATTATGGAGGTGGCATCTTCTTAACCAAGCAATCAAATCCATATAGATAATTTCATTTGGGTTGATACTTACCATTAGCACTTCAAAGCTGCTGAAGGTAAGACAATAAAATAATAAAAAATATAAGAAAATCCAGATTGAAAATTATATTTTACTGTCAACGTGTTTCACAAAAGCTCAATATAATAATAATAATTTACAGATAGTATACAACTTTACAAGAATTACAAATTCTTTGGCGAGAAGAGAAACATGACGTTCATTCAACGGTGATGCGGTTTTTCGGTACACAACAGATAAGTAATACATTAACGATTAAGGTGTAGTATCATAATAAAAAATGGTTTCACGACTATAACGCAAAGAAGGAATTGATTAATTAATAATTGATTAATAAGATGTTGAAATTTATTGGTAGCAATAGAGAAGAGATAAGATTGATATGTAACACATGCGCACACACGTTTCTCAACAGCCAACGGATGACGGATGTGCTCCTATTGGTGCATCATCACGTTACACTTACGCATTATATACCAAAAAAAATTAAATATATTTATAAGTATTTACAATATAGAATCTCGAGAAAGAAAAGATCAAAAATTAATTAATTAGATTATTACTAAAGCTCTCGGTTTCACAGACACTATGTACAGCGCTTAAGTTTTTTTCTTTACAAAAAATGTTCTAACGATAACCGGGATAGAGGAGTGCGGGGCCCCATCAAACCAACCCGGGGGGTTTAACATCGAGTCCTGTTACCATGTCCAATCCAATGGGCGCGGATGGTGGAGGTGTGTTGTTTATAGATCCAGGCGAATTCACGTTGTTGGTCATATCGCTCTGGCTGTTTTCTTCGGAATCGCTACACGATTCCGAACTGCCCTTCTTACCATTTCCATTGTGCGTCTTCACGTGCTTAGCTAAATGATCGGATCTCATGAAACGCTTATTACATATCGGACAAGCAAACCTCTTTTCGCCAGTGTGGGTTCGCAGATGCCTTTGGAGTTCGTCCGACCTCGTGAACCGTTTCCCACAGAACAGCCAGTTGCATACGAACGGACGTTCCCCAGTGTGCCATCTCAGGTGGGCCTTCAAATGGGATGTTTTTCCATATACCTTCCCGCAGCCGGGTATGTGACAACTATGGATATTCTTCTTCCGGAGATGAACACCAGCAGGTCCCAATCTTTCGGCTTCTTGGCAATTTGGACAGTCGCAAGTCGCTCTTCCGGTGTAACGTCTTTGCGATCTCGGTGATGGGACCTGAGGTGGTAAACTTCCTGCGCCGGAAGTTGGCGATGGCGCCGATCCCGTTGGATGTAATCCAAACGAGCCGACTGCTTGAGCTCCAGGCAACATCGACTTATACGTATCTTGGAGTAGATGTTGTCCTGACGATAACAAGTGATTCGAAGCCAAAGAATGTGTTAACGAAGAATAGTCAGAGGAATAATTGGCCGCCATTTGGGCATGCATTCCGGCGGCTCCACTCATATCTAACCAACTCCCAGCAGTAGCCGAATGAACATCCCACCAAGAGTTTGACGTTACAGAATCACTTTTAATCCCACCATGGTGGGTCGCACTAGACATAGTGTTAAAAGGCCACGGTTCATAGTGTCTAGAGTACACGGATCCTAGAGCGGCGTGATGAGCCGTTGCCGCACCTTCAACTTTTCCCAACAAAGAGGATTGGTGATGGTGTACATGAGTGTTATCAGCAACCGCCGGACTTGTCGTCGCACCAGGAAAGTATAAGTCGCTGCCATAAGATGCTGTGGTAGGCACACTCGAACACGACGTCATCACAGGCCTGCTGCTATACGTCGTATTTGACGCTGACGATCTTTGCGTTGGTAAGGAGCTAGCCGAAGATACACTTGACCCTGGAGATGGAGCTCCCTGAGGACTCTTTTTCCACGGATGAAAACCTTTTCCCACTGCGGCATCTGCCAGCGGCGGAGGCGACTTGCTACTGAGTTTATTGCATTGAGCGGCCAACATTGCCAATGGAGTACCTCTTAAACTTGGGTGTTCCTGTAACAAACAAAAACATTATTTTATTAGGTGCAATAAAGATATAAGAAAAGTTTTATGTGTTAAAAATTACACGGGTAATCGAAGAAGTAATTGCGGCAAACCAATAAAATGAAATAATATCTAATAGATACAAGAAAATCAATTTGCATAGAAATAAGGTGCGGGAATAGGTAATAACTCACTATAATAGGTTGGTACATGTTAAATTACTTATTTTATAGTTTTCGAGATAATTTAATAAACATAAAGTTAAATCGCGATTTGAAATTTTATATAAAATAAATTATTTATCTCAGTTAAACCTTAAAATTTGGTGTAACTCAAGCATCAACCTTAAAAAATCATGTCCTTTAACAATTTTAAAGAAAACATTCTTTCCATAACTTTTAATGAACTTCAAATTATATTGACGATTTTTAAAGCTATATAAAATGAAGTAGCCACTGTGAAAATAACTTCGTTCTTTATAACTTCGCAATGTTTTATCTCAAATTCAGAGTTGTTTCCTAGTTAGATCTCAACGGTTTAAAAAATGTATTAGTTAATTAAGCCGAGGTGACTTGCGGCCGAGGCGCTACATCGATATTATATCGATCAATAACTGCCAGCTTTAAAGACTGTATGAGTTAATAAAGACAAGGTCGTCAACATCGATATCATATTGATATAAAACTAACAATATCGCTTGGAACTGAGGCACTATATTGATGCCATCTCGTTACGAAAGTATACAATTTTCAGTAATATATGACTTAGTTAAACTAAGATGAAGAGGTGTTTTTTTGTATGGCAATATATGCCTTAATTGTGCAAATTTGTTGCTGTAAAAAATGTATTTACAACATCATGTATTTCGATTGATGTAAAGCTATTATTTAACCAAAAGCTTTGTGTATATCAGAATTAGTAGAGTGAATATGTTTTATAATTTCATAATATCTATTTCAAGATTACTTGAGAGTTATTGTCTTTTTTTGTTGGTTAATTGAGATTAAATAGTTACCTAGTGATAATAACGTTGAAATTAATACAGAAGAAAGTACTGATTGAGAAAAATAACTGAAGAATCCAACGTCATATTGGATAACGTAATATTAGAACACAAAAAGCAGGAAAACTAATGAAATTATAATTGATTTGAAGTAGGAAAAAAGATTTTACCACAGATATGTCTTCCTGACATTATTGATCATGCAGTCCAGATCATGGACTATCATAGATAAATCTTGGATTAATGTGAATGGTTTAAGTTTAATAAAGCAATGTAACTCAATTTATCAATCAGATATGGGTCATAAAATTTGGCTTTTATTGGTCAAAAGGGTTATTTTTTTCAGTTGGATATGTATAAAGCTAAAAACCAAATGCAAGGCAAAGAACTGCAAGAATATGAGCTTGGAGAAAGAGTAGGTAAAAAGTAGTTAATAAAAAGGACGACAGTTTTTAAGAATGTATTGTCATTAACTCTTATATATTCTCAAAAAAAACAGTTTATTCCCCCATCACTACCTCTTTATTCCCCGATCAGATGACAATGCTGGACTTGGTATCACCTCAGGTTAAACACTACTCCAAACATTAAGACACAGCTGAAATAAAAACAACTACTTCTTTTCTTTCACCTTCCGCAAGCTTTCGAATTTGGATTAATTTACAACATATTATACGTCGATCTTGACACAAATATTAACCTTAACATTGAAAATTCTCTATTAAAACTCTACTTAGTGAGTTTTAAAGAATATATAAGGTAATTAAGTCAAGGTTGCTTGCGGCCGAGGCGCTACGTTCATATCTTATCGACACAAAAACACAGAGTCATCAAAATTGTATGAATTAATTTAGGGAATGTATTAACAAAAAAATGATAGCTTGGCAGTTTTCAAGCATGTCTGATTTAATTGAGTTGAGATTGCTTGAGGCTATAACGATGTCCAAGACGCTATAACGATGTCATATCAATCGATAGTTAGACAATTTTCAACGATGTATGATTTAATTAAGCGGAGGTTCTTTGTGGCTAAAGCCCTATTCGATAGCATATGAAGAGAAATCTGGGAGCTTTTAAAATTGCATGACTTCATTAAGCTGAGGTTGCATTGCAGGCTAGGCATTATATTGATGTTCTATGAATGAAAAGCTCAACAGTTTTCAAAAACCCTATGTAATATACGCTGCTATTTCTACCTCCTCAGTCTGTCGATAACCCCCAATTACAAATTACTCACTTATTCTTACAGCGCTATTGTATTTTATTACATTGTCTGTGGGAAGAACACCTGACGTGCTGAACTGCAAAATCAGAAAATCGAGTATCCAAAAATAATAAAAAATAAGAAATATAAAAATAAATATTTAAGAAAAATTTCTTGGAAAAACTTGATGTAAAAACTGCACTTTATGGTTCACTGCACATTGTATTTAAATTTGATATAAGTAGTAGAAATAAGTACCTATATAGGGATTCTAATAATTAGAATTATTTAGATGAGTACTGGAGACCTCCCGAAAATAAAAGATTACTTTTCGAAAAGATTTATACAATAAAGTATAATATTTTCACATCTATTTTTTGAATGGTACAAAGATTTCTATAAAATAACGACTATTAAATACAATCATAATTATTGTTCCAAGGTATTTAAATACTTTTGTTTTCAATAACTCCATAGAGGTTAACATAGAATATAAATATAGATTATAAACTAACTTTATACTTTACAAGTATATTAAAAAAGTAAACAAAAAACAATTTTTTAACGCCGATATTTATTTTGAAAATAAACCGATTAAGAATTTTAGTATTAAGTAGGCATCTGTTATCGATATCAAAAGTGTAGTAGGAACACATTGTGAGTGTTTAACAGTCTGTATACATAAGTACGAGTATCTGAAACAGTTCACCTCGTCTCTTAGATCTTGATATATTGTCTAACAGCTTTGTGCTATTTGCAAGTGATGTGTTTATTTTCAATCATTCGATTTTAGTGGGCAAAATTTCAAAATATTTAAGAGAAATTGTAAACATCTTAGTTTTATGTACGACTAAAATATGAAACCCATCTCGAAGTGGTCATCTCATCCCCTACTGGTCATTAGCTGCCTATCGTAAATCATTTGTTTAACAAAAACCGATGATTACGGTCATTATTTTTAATGAGCAAGTGACCAGATGATATATTTCATTACAGCGCGGAGTGTAAGTAAAACTTGGACTTTTTTTTCGTTGGTGCTACGTCCTTCTAGCTTAATGTCCCCCTATTAAGGGTCCCAGCGGGTAGGGACACCGGTAGCGAGACGCCTTCTTGCGGTCGATATCTGTGGCGCCGCCAATCAACTCTTTACGCTCCTCCTGCTGCTCTCGAAGTGCTTAGGAGGAGGTGGAACCAGCAGGAGTTGAAGGAAGGTTGTTCCGTGTTATTAATTATTGGACCAAAAAAAATTAGTCTAAAATCGAAGAGGATGTTAGTGGGCAATGTTTACCGCTTAAAGGAGAAGTTGGGTAAAGAAGCCGACACTAAATCAAGGCCTCTCATCAATTTTAGGGCTACTTAATGTAGAAAGTCGTTTGCATAGAAATGGGCTGAGATAATATGTATTCTTTTTTTTTTGTGATGATGCGGCTTTAGTTGAGTGTGAATGACTAACAATTTTTCAAGAAATCATCTCACTTTAACGTTCAACTAGAATCAGCAACATAACTCTTGATCAATTTGTTCTCCCTAAAATACTCTCAAATTTCCAATTGCGGTCGGCAGAGTTAATTAGGTGGAGCCCACATGAAGAGTGACCATCGAGGGACGAAACCGGCCCCGGAAAGGTCCTCTTCGGAACCAAACAACAAAAGAAGGACCCGCGAAAACTGCGGCGGCAACACCGCAATCAACGTCAGTAATGAAGCGCTGGCGCCAGAAGTCGACACGCACACAGACAAAAGAGGGTTACCGCATTAACAGTAAGTGGAAGAAAGAAGGTAATAGAAACACACAAGTTAGAGAAAGACGAGGAACATCTTCTCTGAGTTGAAGCAAGAAGCGAACTGTCCCTCCTAATGGACGACTGTTCCTTTTGTTGTCGAGACCGAGAGCGATAATTTCCAAACATATTCGGTGATGTTGCGCAGCAAAGCAAGGCTTGGTTTAAAATCAATGAGTAGCGAGTTTGAAGTCGGGGATGATGGGGTTATTATCTTCATTAGTTGCCACAATTTGCAGATTGTAATGCCTGGGTCCAAAGTTGATGTAATTTAAGATTTGAAATTGGATGTAAATAAACAGTTTCAAGTTATATATTTATTGAGTATAAAATGAGAAAATCATTGTGTATTTACACATGATATGTAAACGACGTTGTCGAACTACAGTAAATAATCCAACTTGCGCATAAATTACTATCACTTGACATTAACATTAGTACTATCACGTATCCAATTTGTGTAGTACAATTACATTTAATTACTACACCGGTAATTATGAAAACAATATAGCAAAAAGTCTAATTACATATGTATAAAAACAAAACACCTTGAATAAAAAAAAATTAGATTGCATGATCGAATGATAACCACCTTAAAAGTAATAATTATGAGCCATTTGGGCGGACATTTACCTAATGAATCCCTCAAATGGACGAACCTCAAAAATTTTTATTCATTTTTTAATACAATTTTTCATTAGTCAAATTTATGCCGAACGAAAACATAATCTGCATAAAAACGAAAACCACTAAACAACGGGATAACCACAACGTTAGCGTGATGTTTTATGCTAATACCGGGTTATTGTGTTTTTCAAGTTTCATGGTTCCTTTCCTTACCATTGTTCAACAATTTTGAATATTCCTTTATAAAAAAAAGTACACAATTTGGCGTGATCCGACCAAAATGAATAGATGACACAACAAACACCCCGTCGATATTTACACGGGCGAAATGCGTTTTTAATAATGATATATCTTCGGACGTGTGGAATATAATGGGTCTTCGGAGGGGTAATGCG